TCCTAGTCATTGCCCACCCCTGGTAACCACTACCCTGACTTACCACACCATAGGGGTAAATATATGTATGGAATGGGGATTGAGTTATTCTGATTTTATCTTTTGTAGCCAAGATAACTGACTGATGCTATCTAATTACATCTATTTATATATTTTTTTATGTTTGAGGCAGATATTTTTTCACTAGTTGAGTAGTTCCCAAACTTGAAGGAACATGAGAATTGCCTGCAGGCCTTGTTATCATGGCAATGCAGCGCCCCCAAACCCCCATCAGGGACCACAGTTTGAGAACCTCTGCTCTAACGGAAATAGAATAAGATAGCAAACCTAGGGTTTTCCCGGACAGAACAGTACATAGTCATTTTGTCCCTTCTACAGATGATACCGGACGGAAAGCTCAGGGCCTCGCAGTTCCACAGGGACAACTTACCAAGCCCATCTCTTCCCAGGGGAAGGAAATCCTGCGGGAGAAACCTGCAAGCCCTCTCCCGGTAGTTCAAGTTCTGGGGAAGTCGCCAGTGCTTTTGAAGCATCCTCTTCATTGGGCCTCTTAGAGCATTGTCGCCCCCTTGTGCCCAGCCTCAAACCTGCACGGGAAAAAAATGTGCCTAGAAAGTTCTGCGGGGATCCTGCTGGTAATTCTCCACGTGCCCCCACCCCAGGGCCCTGGGAGGCTATCCCGTGCGGACTCCGCCCACGAGGGTCCCCTGGCCTCCGCCTTCTGGGTCGGGTTCTGCCTCTCAGAGGCACTGACCGGAAATCCGAGGGTAGCAGGCGGGAGGTGGGAGTGTTTCTTTTCCGGCCTCTGCATCCCTGCCCTTCTTGCAGTGGCCGAGTTCCTGTACCTACAGCCACAGCTCCTCCAAATTCTAACTTTCTGTCCAAAGGGTAGCAATGGCTTGGCTTTCCCTGAGGCTGGTCCCCTGGTAACGCACCATCCTCTGTGGGGTCCTACACTCTGGCCATCCCTCGAAAACATCCCTTTTGTAAGTGTTGCCACCTAGCCCTGGCGGGGTAGCTCAGCTGGTTGAGGGTTCAATCAGGGCACACACAAGGATCAACCAACGGATGCATAAACACGTGGGACAACAGATCAATGCTACTTTCTCAAATCAATAATAAAAATAGATGTAAGTGCTGCCACTTAAACTCTTTGAGTGGCCACCTGTTTTCTGCCAGGAACCTGACTGAATCATAGCATAAACTTAGGAGGGAAGGGGGACGCTTGGTTACCAGTGAGGCCCAGAATTTCTCTTTAGGAAGAGCTTGGGGTGGCCACGGGGCTGAGGAGGGTTATGGGGGGCTTGTCCTGCAGCTGACAGGATGTATAGGGGGTTATTTTGGGGGAGGGGCTAAAAGCCTTCAGGACACCTTCCTTGGATCCGTCCCTGACTGTCCCTGGAGGGAGGGTAGAAGGAAACAGCCTTTATTATGTGTGTGTTGCAGGCCACTTAGATCCTTGTTTAACTCTCACCTTCTGTTTCCCTCAAGAGCCCTGGGAAGAAGGCAGTGATATGGCTCAGAGAGGTGTAGTCACTTGTCCAAAGCCACACAGCAAATGACCAAAATAGCGACTTTTAAAACAACAACTGAATCACTTCATTTATATGAAGTTCTAGAATAGGCAACACTAATCTCCCGTG